CCTATGGGGGAAGCAGGGGGGGGGAAGTGATGCTAATAGAAATCAAATTTTCTCTTTCACAGGTGATCCCATTTCTAGCAACTAGCACCACTTCATAATGCTGTCACTGAACTCATACAGAAAAGTGTTTCAGAAAGGCCTATTGAAGCTGTCTGGGAGAAACCGATGTCACACACTATGAAGATTTGGTGAGCAATTAAAAATCAAAACACAAAGCAAAAATTGCAGTTGAGACTTGAGGGAGGGCAGTTGAAATAACATGCACATCAGGCATGCGTCTGATTATTTATAGACACTGACAAAAACCCCACTGTCTTCATTAAAGCACAGTTCAGGATTGGCTGATCTCAAAGCACTTGACATCATCATGTCCATTTTACAGGTGGTGAAACAGGCACGTGGAGTTGATTGAACTCATTTGCTCATGTTACCAACTAGGCAATGGCAGAATCTGAGCACTCAGACTTCTGAAAACCAGGAACCGAATGCTTCACGTAGTGCCCACACAACTTGACCGCCAATGGACATAGGGTAATGCTTACATCTTCAGATGTTTCAAGTGTCTGGGACCCCAAATCTTGAACGTTTTAATACATGGTTGTTACTTTAAGTGGTTGAGAGAAAGCTGGACTGTCTCTCTCCTTCAGCTCCTTCCCCTTCCATTCTTTGCACTATAATTTCCCCTGATACTTTCAGATGAGCCTTTGCTTTTTGTCCCATTAAGGCAGTAGTACGGTAGAAGACTTCAAAAGTTAAAACCTTGCCCTTTGCTACCTGGCATACTCTATTGCTGCATACACAGTCTGTTAGAGGGTTGAACACTTACTTCCCTGATCAAAGTCCCCTTCTCCCCCACCTCCTGCATGTGCCTCTTCTCCATCATCTCCACTTAGCTACAGTCCCAAACACTCTCACTTTATATTCCTCACTCATTCAGCCCCTCATTTCTTTCCCTTTTACTCCTAACAAGGGTAGAACTGAAACCAGTATTGAACCTCACCAAATCTCTACAAAAGGTCCAGCATCTTTCCCCTGTTGCCACCACAGTCACTTGGGTGGATGCTGTCTAGAAATCCTTGTGGTTAATCTGTGCTTCAATGTGAATGCTAATTGATTGCTGCACATAACTTTTCTGAGATGCTGAGACCAGAACTGCACACAATATTCAAGACATTGGCGCACAATTGATTTCTATAGTGGCATGATGATGTTTTTCATTTTGTTTTCAATTCCCTTCTTAATGAGGCCTAACACTATGATGGCTTTTTTTGGTTACCACTGCACACTGAGCTGATGTTTTTTTGACAACTATAAATAATAAGTCTCGGGTCTCTTTCCTGAGTCATAACAGCTGACACACCAGTCCGATTTTCAGACTGCTGGTGAGCCACATGCTCAATATCTGTCTCAGTTTGGCAACCAAAAATTAAGGCACTCAAAAATCACTTGTAATCTCTGAAGGTGTCAGTCATTATAGTTGTCATGTTATTTTTTGCATCCTTTTTTGTCCATGCATTTGATCTGTTTCTTAGTACTCCTCTCTCAGACAATTTAAGAATATTGTGTATAAATAAAGATCATGGCTATGAATATGTAGATACTTACAATATAAGGAAGTTCACCTTCGCTTAGTCCTTTTGAACTTGTGGGTTTCTAAGGTAGTAAAATACTTCCAAGTTGACATTTTTGGTTGTTAAACTTCTGGGACCATTAATGTCTACATTTTAATACACATCTGGTCCATTACTGTTATTTATGCATAGCATCAACTCTAATGATCATATATTTTATTTGACTATACCTCTGCTTTCCTCAGAATTAACACTATGATTCATTTTAACTGTAACAGATTAATGAGTACCTAATGAAATGCATAATTCACTTAGATTAATAATGGGAATTAATACAAGTAAACGTGAGCATCACAAAGTAAAACCTTCTCTAGCTGAAAAGTTATGCTTTGAGAAATGGTTCTATACATCATCTTTTATCATGAAATCAAAGAAACATAAACCTTAGTAATTGTTGTTTGGTACAATAGGGCATAAGGGAGGAATGAGAGAATCAAGGCTAGGTAATATCTTAACTGCTCCCACCTTGTAGCTAGTTAGCATTTGGCTTAGCTAATTAAAAGATAAATCTTCCCATGTTGTGTCCAAGTTTGGTATAAATATGAATTCATTGTATGCAATACTTAAAAGAAGGAAATAGATTTGTTGAAATGCTAGCAGGTGTGAGTAGCTGGTAATATATACTCAGTCCTGTCTTCTGATATGAAGCAAAGCTCTTGGAAAATTATTGCAGGCCTTGATCCAACTCCAACTGAAGTCAGTTGGAATTGGATCGGGCATCTGTTGCATTTGCAAGTGTCTATATATGCATTCTGAATTTCTTCTGCTTCTATTTCTGTCTTGTATCTTACCCCTCTAGCTGCTTATTCTCTCTGTACATTAGATAGATTTGTTTGATAATAATTCATAACTCCCCTTTTATGACTCGGCAGTCTTTTACTAGATCACCACAATGATATTCCAACCTAGCCCCGATTCTTCTATTGGATTCTGTCTCCGCGGACTCCTGCATTTGAGTAAACTTCTGTTGAAACCAGTATGAATCCTCCTGCCCTTGGACATCAGTGCTAGTGTATACCAAAATAGAGTCTAAGGATCATTTGACTCTTCACTAAGATGCAATTTCCTGAGTAACTACACTATTTAGCACAACAGCACTCATAACACACAGCACAGGGACTGAAGAATGCTATATCCTCTTGAAACAGCACAGAGAACCTAGCCAGCAAACAATCTGAGATAGAATTTGACATAAGATTTAGACCTTGCTTTTCTTTCACTCCATAATTGGTAGCTAGGAGTGCTAAATGTTTTTTTTTTATATTTCATCTGCAATATGAAGGAAGCGTATGAAGTGCAGTGCCTGATTCTTTTTGTTTTGTATCGCTTTTACTATTTTATGTCCTGGCTTTTTGTGCCCTTAGGTCTATTATTTCAAAGTGGAGCTTGGCCATCACTTTTCCAGATTTGCCACATTTTGAGATGTTCTTCACAAAATAAGTAGAAAAATGTCGCGATTTTTTTTTTTACTAGCTTTACTTTACAGGATCACAGCCCCAGTGAAATGACTAAATGCATGGCTTGTTGTGCCTTTACATTGTAGTTCGAAAGCCTGTGTCCTGTTTGCTATAAACTGGGCACATTTACATATTCATTAATGAAACCATAATTACAGCACTTTAAGTTTAGTATCCGTAATAATACGTACTAACTTAATGCACTTTAATTAGGCACTACTGTGCAGTAGTGCCAGCTCATGCTTTTTTGTGACACTAATATGCAGTAAACTTAATTCTACAGCTCATTAGAGCAATAGCATGGTTTTTGCCTGCTCTGCTAATGCACGGTACAATTAGCCTACTGTGCATTTAGTATCTCGTGTAGACACTCCTACTGTCATAGGAAAGAAATTACTTGGATGTCCTTCAACAGAAGAAAGAATTGCCTGGATAATAATTCAGTAATAGATTTTGACATCTGGCACTATATTTTAAAGATGTGAATGACACTATATGGCCTAATGCATGAGATTATAGGTCAAGTTCTGGGTCAGGACAAAACAGGTGGACTTTGAGAGATGTAGTTCTCAGAGGTATGATGGGAATTGTATGTTGAAGCCAAGCATCCTGGGAAGGAATTTCAGAATATCTATGAAACAGTCTTCCCTTAGAATTGAATGAGGTCTTCTGTCGAGTCACAGAAGAGAAAACAAGGAAAATGCAAGACCCAAAATGGTTTCCTACGTTTTTATAGGCCTATGATGCTACCTAGGAAGAGCTAGAAAGAAATTAACTTCAAGAGGCAATAAAAGAGGTTCCTGATAGAGGCTTGGTGAACCACAAGTGCTTGCGGACCCCACATTAGAGGATGATGGGTCAACTCTGGTGAAAGCAAGATGAAGACTGTTTAGTTCAGAATAGGAAAACTGGAATAGATTTGAGTGTGCACCCTTTCATTGTTATTGGCTGAGAGCTTCTAAAGAAAAAATAAAAGTTTTCAGGACAGCGACTAAGTTGACTTGTAATAAAAAAGACAGAAAGCATGGAAGAAAGGAAGATCTGTTGCTATTTTAATATGAGAAATGAGACACCGGGTCACACTATAAGATTGTAGAAGAGCAGGAAACAGAACGGAGATATATTGAATCCAGTTCAGTGCCCCAACAAAAAGAACATTCTCTCTTTTTTACTACTTATCCACTTATTTCTACCTGTTAGTGGTCAGTAGCATATTAGCCTTATTGGACACATCTGATCTCAAATTGTCACTCAGTGGAGTGAGGCACTAAGGGTATCACCTCTGTACTGTGCCAGGGAATGTTACATTGAGGTGTAACCACCTAGCTGCTCCCCATCTACTATCTCCCAGAATGGAAGTAATGCAAATGCCTAAGGGCCTAGATACGTAACATGTGTACACTGGTATGACCTACTCTGACACCTGTATAGAAAAGGAGCTGATGCATGACATCATGTGTAATTTATTAGAATCTAGTATAGAGTTACCCTGGGAAAAATTGGAGGTAAAGCTACACCGGACTAAGTGTAGGTGTCATGTCTCCACTTCAATCCTAAGGTAACTCTTTGTTCAATACTATTATCTGCCTATTGTAGCTGTTCCCACTGGCAGAGCTGGTCATCTTTCCACTCCAGACACTACTGCAACTTGCTTTAGTGTAGAAAACTAAGGTAAGTTATCTCAGACTTGATGTGTCATGCTTCTAAGCCCTTGATTTGGTGCTAGTTTTGCATGAATAAGCTTAGAAGGTCTATAGTTTCAGCTCTTTATATATCTAGCTCTATATTAAAACATGTATAGGCCAGATATAGAAGTTACACACAAACTGGTCTATGTGCTCAGAGATTAAACTAAACCTATAACCATACAGAAGTTCGGTGCATGTAGGCTGGTCTAAAAATGGTGGAACCTGGTCTAACATAGACCTGCATCAGCTTACAATCAAACTTAATCAATTTAGTTTAGATCAGTGCATTGAACATCTGTACCAGATCCCTGAACAATTCAAGTTAGATCGCTGTCCACCAGCATCCTAGGGTCCTTTTGAGTCCTTCCCTCCCCCCCCCCCCAAATAACTTTCCCTCTCACAGGGAGGCATGCTAGCACTTGGCCCACACTTGGCTGCTCTGGCTGAATGCCCAGCAGACCCCACCCCCAAGCTCTCACAAAGCCCAGCCAGCAAACCCAATCTCCCCAACCCTATCTCTTGCCTCCAGCCAGCTATCAGCCTCAGGAAGGCAGCAGGGCGAGGGAAGAGAGGCATCTGTGTCCCCTACATGAACTCCAGGACATTGGCACCTGTTACCCCAAGGTGTGCCCCTACACCCTGCCATGAAGCACTTCATGATGTATGCACAGACCTGACATGAAGCCCAGGAGAACCCCTGTGCTTGGGTGCAGCCCCACAGACCCAGCCCTGGCACCCATACACCCAGCCAGGGACACCCATGGCCCCATGAAATTAAGGAACAAACAGCATCATACACAAAATATCTGTAAAGTAGTCTTTACCATTACTTTAACATGCCTACGTTTTTATCTATAGCACATGGTATTCAGTAATGCAGTGAAAATGAGTGGAAAATAGGAAGATAACTGTTTCATAATGAAATTGTTCTGACACATTCATTTCTATGTTGTGTGACATGGTCATATGTTAGAAAGTAGGAAGTGATACATATTCATCTGTGTGTCTGTGAACAAACTGCATATACATTTCACTGGCAGAATGCAGATACCAAACAAATGCAGATACAGAACAAACAGAAATGCAGATACAGAAAAATCAGCAGTGGTGTAATCATCTCCAGTTTTTCTTTATCACCAAAAATTACAAATATAAAATAGCTGAATAATGATGTGTTCAGTTTCCGCAACATTGGGACAACCCAGAAAAATATTTGTCTTATAGCATCTACAGCATGCAACTTTTGTAGACACTGGTAAAGGGATAGATGCAAAGCCATTCTATCTTTATACACTGTCCCTAGGCCTCTGAGCACTTGAGAAACTACTGGGTGGAAGGATGGCTTGTGGTGGCTGTAGTGTGACCTGGGCAGGCTGTTCAGTGGCAGGAGTGGGGGAAGATGCTCTGCAGAAGGAAGGATTGGGCCCCTTGCAGCTCCAGCGAATGGCAGGTGGTGTTACGAAGTCAAGGAGCCCCCTTTTCCCTGCCACTGCTGCATGCCTCTTGCTGCCAGTTGCCACTTGTGCTTGAGCTCTGAGGGCCCTGATCCTTTCTTCTACACCACCACTAGCCAGGCTGCCCAGCATGCCATGGCGATCCACTCTGGGGCTGTTCTGGAAGCCTAGGGCTGGGCATAAGGGAGGGTCCTCAGTGACATGGCAGGGGGTTGGCAGCATGCTTGTCCATGCCTAGTAACCAATCAGGGGTGGTCTAACTGTTCAGCTGTGCTTAGCAGCCTCTAGTACCATGGGGAGCCCACAGGGCATG